CCAATGTCTGTCTGAGCTCATGCCACAGTGGCGCGGCCTTTTTCATTCCGCTACGCTCATCCCCACCGCAACGCGTTGCCCAGCACACAACCGTACATTCATGGTCGTAGTCTACGCTGGCGTTGAAGTTCCTTCCAAGGCACTCCTCTACTCGCCAAATACATAAAAAAGTATAGAACTCACGCCTCTTATTTCCTTTGCAATCCCCTACCTCCCTTGTACAAGCCGGCACACACACATTGGCTTGACTATATAAGCGAATGATATCTGCTGAGACCCTTTTTCTCTGCCTCTACCCCTTTCCACTTATCTGGCTGGTGCTCCCTTTCTAGTTTGCACACTTGGCTCGTTGCTTTGGCGCGCCTTTGCACATTTTTATGAAAATTATTATGAGCATCAAAAAAGGCAAAAAAACATGCGAAAAAGTAGAAAGTAAAGCGAATGAATGTCTGTGAAGATAGCGTCCGGGTAACCGACATTCCACCATCTCCGAGCTGACCGTAGCGCTGCAAACCTGCACAGCGCCAACTTGAATCTTCTCGAATGCACCTTCTTGCCCCGCCAAACGCTGTTTCTAGTTTAACTCACTGCCCCATCCCCATGGCGTATCTACCGACTTGGTCGAGCATACCTTTGACGGGTCTAACCAGCCGCTGCCGTTTGCAGGGGGCTTGGTGTAAAAAAACGTGGCCCTCAGAAATACACACACACGCACACACAAGCGTATATCAGTCCAAACCTAAATACTCGCAAACGCTCCCCGCTACACACACGCACAAACATACTTCCGAGCATTTGTTGGCTACCCGTCAACTTCCTGCATCCCTTTTAACGGCGCTCTCCAGCCCCCCAACTTGCCGGTTTTTGTAATTCGCAATTTCACTAACTTGTTTTTGTTGCTGCCTTTTTCAAGGATTTTTATATAAAATAAAATTCAGCTTATTCCTCTAATTTTTGTTTTGTGGCCGTTACCATGGTCCCAAATAAACTTTGTTTTACATTGTATTTTTCTTCCTTTTTGTGCGGGGATCTAAAAGGCAGCGAGAGCTGTGCGCTTCAATTTCTTTCTATTTTTTGGGTATCAAACCCAAAACGCCACAAAAACAACAAGGCGAGGAAAAAATCCCCAACGAGTGTGGGTTAGGCGCGTAAATTTGAGTCGGAAAGCGTCGTGTGGGTCGGTGGAAGCCGAAAACCAAACGAACTGGCACAAAGCACAAGCGTCAACAAAATCGTTATGAAAAAAAAATTATATATATTTTATATAAATAATAATAAAAAAATGCGCCATAAAATATACAAATAAAATAGAAATTACATTTCAATCGAGTTGTCTTTCGATGTGTGCGCGCGTGTATGCGTGTGGGTGTTTGTGTGTTAGTGCATGTCAAAGGCCACCGCTCGGTCCAGTTTTTTCGCAACGGTATAAATTATGAAATAATAGTTAAAAAATTTTAGAAATATCCATTAGAAACGCAATGATAGGTGTGGGTCCTGAAAAAACAAAAAATCACAACACAAGCTCATATATGTGGGTACTCATGTGTTATATGCATGTATGTAAATAGTGCAGGTGGAAAAAATTTTAGAGTGACGGCTTTTGGTAACTGTACTAAGGACTGAAATAATATGAAATTGGCAATTTAAATTTATTAAATTAGAAAAAACTATTATATCGATAGCAAATTTACGTTTGATGTGCGAGCGAACTTCAGCTTTATTAGCAATTTTCTATAAAAAAAAAAAATATTTTAATAAAAATGCTGCTGTTGAGCTCAGCATAAGCACGATGTGGACGAATATTTTAATTGATGTAAAAATGTTGTAACTTTATATTTATAGGTATATAAATTGAAATTGGAAAAAAATAATCCAGCAAAAGTCTGTGAAATTCAATATTAAACTTTTTTTTTTAAACGCAGCTTTGTAATACCGCTAATGTGGCAACACTGTTTGAAGAGGTATTTTGATCGTCGCTTCTATAGCGACTCAGCCACTCAAGAATGTATAAATCTTTATAAAAGACCTTGATCTGTAAGATACTAACATAACTGAGCAAAGAAACATTTCAAGCTTATATCAGCTGTCTTCGAAAACAACACTAGAGCGTTAATAAAAGGTTTTTTGCCGCAAAAAGAAGAATTGTACACCAAATAAGGGATCACAACACAATTGCGCATGCGTCAGAAGACATGTTAGCGCAGGATAGCACCACAAGTGCTCTCGTTTGTTTGTGAATCTGGTATATATCTTAGACGACTATTTCTACAGTGGTTATGAAGTAACTAAAATGGTCTTTTGATTTTTTGGTTTTTTGTTTGGGATGGGCAACATCAATGGATCTCTTACCGAGCCATTCCCATTCTACTAATAGCGTTGTTAGGAAGTCTCTTCATGACAGCTCGTCAGCTTTCTAATTACTTTCAATTCCGCTGTGACCTGTCACCCATACTAGACGTTAAGCATTCCTCAACCAGCCTTGAACACACGGTTAATGAGCTTAAAACCAGTAAACAGAGGGATAGTCAGTTCTCTGAAGGATGTTGCACTCCGGAGCAATATATACAAGTATACCGCTGCCTTAATGGCAGCATCTTCGACTTGAAAGACACTGCAATAGTCAGGAAGTCTAAAGCGTGAGTTGATGGAGAGTTCCTAATAATATACACCTTTATCAACCTTCCTCCCAAGCTTTGACCAATCCGTAAAGAAACTTACTGAACCTCTCCTCCAACGGCTTCTACCCGTTCACAACCCCTTCGCAGGTGTGTGAGTAGAAAAAAGCTGTCAGACTTGCGTTTGGCGACTCTATGATCCATAAGATCTGGTATAAAGTCAAAGCGTGCAAAGATTTCCCAGATTTTCTGAGTCTGGTAGCAACTTGCACGGCCATACACCTTCCAGCGATTCTATGGGCACTATATGCAAAATGATATTAGGTGACATAGTCGTAGTGTTAGAATGGGTATAACTTATTTTTTTTTTAACATTTTATTTTTTTTTTTTATAATCGGCATATTTTTAGCTAAAGACCAACACATTATAACTGTATATAGGTATAACATAACAGACAGACGGTTAGACAAATATGGCTAAATCGACTGCGCTCGTCACGCTGATCATTTATATAGGTATGTACTTTACAGGGTATAAGAACAATGTGTTTAAGTAAAGCTCGATCAAAGAGAACCAATTAATGGAGAATCAGAAACTGTTAGCGACAATAGCCGAACTTCTGAATAATAAACTCTTTATTATTAGTTCTAACTAATTCCAATACATAATATATATGTACGTAAATCCAATATTTACAAAGAATTTCCATTATGAGTTTTTTACTTCTCATTTACTCGTATATATGTAAATATAAATTTTGATTATGTTTAACATTTATTTAGAAGTATTTGACGCCCATTTCTGAACAATATATACTTAGATGTACATAAAGTTAATTTATATATAATATATTAATTAATGATTTATAAAAGTTGCGAACAATATTATGATGATTCCGCAACACCAGACAAAATAACCGACAAACTCGCTACAACCAACCACGCGGTACCAAAACACTATCCTATCACCCATAAATGCATAATTAGTTGACCTCTAACTCACCTCAACTGATAAGCGACGAGTAGTCGGCGAATTCGTTTACGGCAAAATGATTTAATGTTTATATTATATTTAATATTTTCTAGACACAAATTATATATAAATATTTATAAATTTTCCTGTGTTTATAAACACTTAATTAAATGCATATGCTTAGACATATGTCATATTTGAAATGGTTATTCATGCTCGGTCTAGTTTTTCAAATTTTTTGTCATAAGCGACTTCTATATAATCCGTTACTCTACCAAAATTTTGGTGGCAAGAACTTGAATTCACATTTTTCACATAAACTTTGTCTGTATTTGTGTGTAGTTAGCATGTAGCTATTAGAAAATAGAATTATGTAACTCGTAAACAAAAGAAGGCAATGTTCATTCACCATCACTGCCAAATGGTAGCTTATAGAGTACAGATGGAGAGCTAATTTATATTTTGGTATTCGCAAATCTTCTTTTGGACAATTTAAAAAAAGTAAACAAACGAATGAAAACAAAATAAAAATATAAATACGAAGATTTTTTTCTTAGTCATAGATTCACGATTTCCGGCAATTTTTGTATCATTAAATAACAAGCGAATGACAGTGGCGCAGATTTAGAGCTATTTTGAGGGCAATTGTATTTTTAAACTACGCAAAAGTTGTAAAAGGGTTTCGGCTTCTAGTTTCTCATGAACGAGTGTGAACTCCTTGGAAGTTATTTGAGTTCGCTGCTCTCCAATAGCTACTCTTGAGAGAGCACTATACCATATATATATAGAGATACCAGAACTTCGCTAGAGATCAGTCGGATAAAGGCTAATAGCTAATTAAATGAAAGGAAAGCATTACTGAAACGCTTAAAGCAAAAAATCGGTCTTAAGAAAAGCGTGAAAGTTCCGGTTCAAATCGTTCAAAACAATTAAGCTTGGATGAAAACAATGTTAGAAGCGCATGAATTGGACTTCGAAATGTTTTCACACCCACCGTATCATCCTAACATGGATGCCCGCAACTATTTTATTTTCTATAATCTCAAAAGAAGTGGCTCTAGAAAGAAATTTAGTGACGTTGAAGCCGTAATTGCTGAGACTGAGATCGAAGAAGTTGCTAAAATCAGTGTAAAGCCCATTATGACACCATAATCGGATTTTATTTTGAAAGAAATATTATTTTGAATTCTATTGAAAGTACGAAGGAGCTTCAAGTGAACAGTCTGCAACGCGCTTTAATAATAATATGAGAAATTAATTATCTTAAATATATCTACAGTTTTAAAGAAAAAAAAACTTCAGTTCCAGCTCGACGCTTCTGCGACGGAGGCTACCACAAATGCAAAGCTTACTTCCCTACCTCCCTTTGTTCTTTACACCCTATCTACGCCGCTACTTTAGTGAAATCATTAGTTGACTACAAAACGTGATAACCTCGATTCAGTCGAATCAAGACTTATATGTAAAAATCTTATCGCCGTTTTGAGTAAACCTATTGAGTGAATAGCAAATTTCAGATTATAATTAGCTTAAATATAATGTAAACAAATCTACATACTGATGGGTATTTTGCGGCATTTATTATGCCAAACGAACAGTTTCAATTTAGAGCTCGTTGTGAGCACAACAAAAATGTGGAGTAAAAATAAATTAATTCAAATAATTTGGGCACTGCTGCTAATACAGGTATTGAAGAAAGAATTATAGAAAAATTATATATATTGTATAATAATTAAATTCCTGAAAAATTTCAAAAACTGTATACACATTTTGCAGCTGGTAGCTGCCGGCACTACAAGACAGGACAGGTGGGCCGAAGATGCTGTAGAACCCAACGCAAATGAAGATGTGGATGCCGATGGGTTTCGCACCTTCACACGTCAAGGCGTAACATTGCGCATTCAGCCACACACCAGAACCATACGCATTGACGGTAAGAACGCCAGCCCGGCACAACTGCTGGAGCAAGCCAAGCAGGCAAGACAACTCGAATTGCTCGCCGTGCGCCAGCTGCTAAACACGAAATATCCCGTGAAGCGAACAAGTTTCGAAAATGGACGTAAGCAGACGAGCACATATACGCTGGAACCGGACGGCAGCATTGTATGCAAGATAGTGGAAGATATTGATATGGACGATGTGGATCGTCGTTTTGAAGAAATTTTCCAAAAACAACGCGAAAAGCAAGCGAAAGAGCAACCGAATAAAATCGCGGATTGGGAATGGTCAGAGGACGATGATCAACCGGCGCAGCGCCCAAGTATATTTCGTGCGCCGCTGCAGCCTTACCCCGCTGGTAAACCCTATGTGCCAACACCACCACAATCACCACAACCGGCAGAGCAACAGCCAAATTTCTACCAGCCACCACGATTTCAACCAGCGTGGCCGACACGCGATCAAGACGATCCCTTCAATCCAGCAGAGTTGCCCAAAATGAACGGTTTTGATGATGATGAGGACATTTTAGGCACATACGATAAGCCCGCGTCTACACCGGTTGGACAGACAAACACTTTTACGAACACAAACACCGACAAGGATGGCAATACAGTGCATACCACTTTGACGACAGGACCAAATGAGTGGAAACGTAAAACTGTGAAAATATCGACGAACACACAAACCAGACCAATAGCAGAGGAGTCTACAACAGTGCGTAATATACCAAATTTAGAAGATTTTCTTAGAGAACAATACAATCCAAGTCCGCAGGCCAAACCAGAGTCAGCCGCACCCAGTTTGACAACTTCAACCACACCCAGAATCATAAAGACCATCAAGGTTGAAGACTTACCACCTTTAGCTGTACTCAATGCCAACAGGCCGGTAGATAAACAATTTCTACAACCGCTCACACCCAATGCCACCGGTGACCAGAAACCTATTAAAACACTCCATGTGGATAATATACCACCCAGTTTGGATTCAGATACGGACCGCTATGAACTAACTAAAGTGCAGACGCTAAAAAAAACCATACGTGGCAATCAAATACCCACAGTAGCTGATTTAGATTTCAAAATGTTGGAAATGTTACAACGTGCTGGCATAACTCCTGAAGACATTGCCCACGCGAACGGGCAAACAATAACAAAGACTCGCGTAGAGCCAGACGGTCGTAGAGTGACGACTACATATCGCATAAATAGAAATTACGGTGGCAATATGCTTGAACCTTCATCTTACGATACACCCAACCGCGATGCTACATACCTTAAAGACACAAACAACTGGCGTAGAACTTATGACATACCATCGGTTTTCCGCGACCCACTGCCACCTAAACATCAGAGCGCTAGCCATTTTGGCGTCGATTTCACACCTTTTGCTGCTGACTCTGTGGCGGCTGCTGTTACCACCACTACTACTGTGCGACCTTTGATACGTGACCGTGAGCCTTTGGAGCCGCAAGATGAAGATAATGAAAATGCCGTCACGTTAAATCCTTTACTCATACATCCGGTACAACCGGTCGTCACAAAGACTTTAACTGCTGGTAATCCGAGCTTGGTTGGGGTCAAAAGCCCTATCGCGGATTTTTTGGCCAAATTGGGTTTATCGGTGGGTGATTTGCACGCCAGCAGAGGCGAGTATGTCAAAAGTATAGTCGATCCGGATGGAAGTGTACTAACCGCACGATTTATTCTAACTGGTGGTATTGCTCACACGTCCAAAAAGTAATTAATTATAAAGATAGTTTATATTATTTGCTCGAATAAAATTTGTTTTCGATATTATTAAAAATTAGATAAAATATTTACTTTCAACATAGCAAAAATTAATAGCATTTTCAGTGAAGTATTCGATTGATGCCAAAAGCAGATTCTTGACCTGTTTTTACGGAACTATATAGCGATTCTCGATGTTAGCTTTCAATGTACTGCAATGAAAAATATTAATAAGCTTGAGAACTTGACCGATTTTCCAATTTATAGGTTTCGGAAACAATCTGTTTGGCAATTACCAACAGTTTTAAGTAAGCAGGACTTAATTATGAGGATATTAATGTTCGTAGTAGGCAAATTTGTTTTTGTGAGTCAGTGACTTCAATGAGAGTTTTAAGTAAGCAGGACTTAATTATGAGGATATTTATGTTCGTAGTAGGAAAATTTGTTTTTGTGAGTCAGTGTTTTCAATGACATCATTCATGGAAAGTGAGTTAATGCAAGTGTTGATCGATTTTAAGGAGAGAACTCTATGCAACCTTTTGAGATCTCATAATAACAGCGTCAGTATAAAGAACTCTTTATGACATATCATAGAAAAGCTTTTGAGTCTTCAAAACAATCAGAAAGTACTGCAAATTTATAAAGCGTTTGACACCTATTATAATTTAATATTTAATATATGCTGAACTTTATGAAGCAAAGCTTTTCAGAATCGTTCTAAAGACAGATGGAGCTACAGAACTGGAAAGGAACTAGAAAAAGGATTAAAATTTGAATGAGTGAAGCTTTCTAACTGCTTAATACTTCTGCAAAGATTTCAAATTATAAATATGTGGGCCCAATCACGATTTAATTTCCCTATCTATCCATATACAAATTTTTCCCTCCTCCTTTCGTCTTTTCCAGATAGCTTCATTTTAAATCCCGTTCCGTTCTTTTATTACAGAATAGATAACTCAAGCACTAATACGGGTATCGAAATAAAACTTGACATTAGTGGTATGTTCAATGTATGGCAACTTTCTTTAAAAATAATTGTTATCAACCAAAACTCACCTAAGTTCCACCTAAGGAACTTGTTGCCTACGATAAACTTTAAACCGAAAACAATAAGTCAATTTGTGCGTCATCCTATTTTGAAAGTGGATCTAAACATCTCTTATGGAAAGACTCAACACATTTTGGTTAATATTTTGGGTATAAAGCGTGTCAATGGTAGACTCGTACCTACGAGTACTGGTCGCAAAAGAAATGCTTGATAACGTAGCTGAGAACCATACATTCATCAAACATCTGTATTTCGATACGTGGGTATGAGTATGACGTCGTAACAGTCCACCAATCTATAGGTAGCGAATGGCGCTACAAAAATTAAACTAAATAACAAAATTCGCAGAAGACACTGAAAGCCGAAAGTGTATGGAAATTTGCACTAAGCGTTGGAATAGCAAAAATTATAATATATGTTAAAGTAATTGGAAATGTAGCTTTTTTCGTCAGTCGGAGTCAATTTTTTTATAACCTGAGCAGGTTTCCGAGAAGGAAACATCAGCGATGCTATAAAGTATGTCCAAATGATCAGCATGACGAGCTGTGTTGATTTCGCCTCGGCTTTTGAGACAGCGAGCTGAAATTTTGCACATGCCCTTTTCTAACCAAGAAACTGCTTATTTGTCGGAATCGCCGATATCGAACCACTGTAGCATATAGCTGTCATACAAACTGTTATATTTATCAAAAACACGTCCTTGTATGGCAACATTTTTTATTAGATGAGATACCTTGCTGAAATTTGGCTCAAATAATTTTTAAGGCCTAATCTCTGTAGAGACTGTTCAGATCCGACCTCTATAACCTATAGCTGCGATACAAATTGGCCGATCAAAATGAGGTACCTGCATGGAATCTTTTGTATTGTTGTGGGGTATTACAGCTTCGGTTCAACCAAAGTTAACATTTGTTCTTGCGTTGTCAATCAGTCAATATAAGTTATATCTGCATGAATTTATAAGAACGATGTGTTTTTGAGCGCACTGTGATTCGAAGCCAAAAAAAGATAGAAAATAAATTGATCTTTCCACTTGGCAATATAGGCGAAATATACTGATAATTACCTTGTTAATCAAAACAATTTGTGAACAAAATTAAAAAAAAAAATACTATTTTTATTGTGATTATTTGAATGAAAAAAAAAAAATTAATTGAAAGAAATGAAAAATACTTGAGTTTTTTAATTTTAAATTGGTATAGGCCGCACCCCATCAAGTCATCATCTAGTCATCAACTCCTGAATATGTATACATATATACATTTTTAGGCATTATATAAGAGTTTTGTGTCAACATGCATATACGAGTATACTTGTATAAGTTATATAACACTTTATAGCCATTATATGTAAATATATAAGTATATAAATATGTTATACGTAGATATGTATGTATAACGACACTAGAATTATTAATTTAACTAGCCAACAAAATCAATCAGTAGCCCTTAAACAATAAATTTTCTATAACATATTTCCATCAAAATTTTATATATAATTTCCGTTTCACATAAATAATACTTTTGCGCAGGAAAAAACAACAAACAAACATTTTTGCTTTAATTTAAAATACTTACCGCGCGACTGTACTCGAGTGTTAGTGTGTATGTGTACATAATTTTTTATGTTATTTCTAAATTTTTTCGCAATTTTTTCCACGAATTTTTCGCAATTTTCTTGTAACTTTTTTCATAATTTTTCTTTTTAATTTTTCACATAATTTTTTTCATAAGTTTTTCGCAGTTTTTTTCCTAAATTTTTTCTGCAACATTTTGCGCATAATTTTTTCATAAATTTTTTTCTGCAATATTTCTCGCATAATTTTATTCAATAAATGCACTAAAAACATACTAACACATACAAAGGCTGGCGCAGCGCACACAAAGCAGCAGCGGGAATTAACGTGCAGCGCCGCCATAGGCAAAATAATTGAAACACGCAGATACGCATTTGTCAGATACAGAAAAATCGTGCATAGATAGCTGTTGTTGTTGTTGTTATATTAGTTTTTGTTTATTTGCTTTCTACGACTAGCGCATATAACTAAAATTTTTGCATATTTTAAAATTGCTGTGCGCAACAACAAAAAACCTGACGAATGCAGCTACAAATAAAAAGCGCAAATTTGTATTACAAAAAAGTGGCAGCGTCGATATATTTTCAAGCGAAATAGCAAATACAATTTTTATAAATTTTTTTTTGTAATTTTTTTTTATTATTATATATTATTATTTTATAAACCAAGCTGCGATTTATTAAAATCAAGCGAATTGCAAATGAAACGAAAATGTAAAAAAATTAAAAAAAATTGTGAAGAGAAAAAAATTTGAGGGAGAGAGAGAGAGAGAGAGAGAAATATAAATAAGTACATAACGAAAAAATTATTATAAAAGCATTCAACTTAATACAAAGCATACAAAAAACACACGTGCATACACAACATATATTTATATGATATGTGTGTGTGCATGCACATGTGCGTAAAAAATAAATGCATAAATAAATACAAACATATGTATGTGTAACTAAAATAAGCGCACGAGATCAATATAAAGCAAGAAAAAGCGCGCAACAAATCAAGCTTAAATAAAATAAAGCAAAAATTAAATAAATTAAAGTAAATAAAAATTTTTCTAAATTGAAGTAAATCAAAAAAATTGCAAACTATATAAAATAAGTATAATAAAAGCAGCATTTTGTTGTTGTTTTACTGTGCAGATTTGGTTTATGTTTTCAGCTTAAAATTTTTTCTATTTTTGCTACGTTTTTGTAGCTTTAACTTGACGTCTGGTTATTGCTGTTATTGTTTTTGTAAATTTTTATGATTTTCTATTGCTTATTGTTGTTGTTGAAATTTTTTTTGTTTTGTATTGCTTATTGTTGTTGTTGAAATTTTTTTGTTTTGCTATTGCTTATTGTTGTTGTTGTATTTTTTTCATTTTTTCTAGTTTCTGTACTTTCTGGAGCACTGTGCATTACGCGCGTGCTACGTTTACGTAGTGGCAATAAGAACTAGCGCTAGCATATACTCAAGCAACTCAAACTACAAGCGAAGCGTTCAATTGGCAGCCGCCGCGTAAGAAGCAGAAGAAGCGGATGCAGTTGCAGAAGCCGTGCAGTTTTAGCGTTTACACACAAGCGTCAGGATAATGTTTTGTTGTTGCAGTTGTTGTACATTTTTATCCTCATTAATGTTGTATGCAAGGTGAGTGTTGTTGTTGCATTTGTTTTTGCGTGTTTTTTTACATTTGTTACGTTTTCAAGCCAAGCATGACATAGAAAAGAAGAACTAGATTAGTTAAAAATTGCGTTAAAAAGCGAAAAAATTTCAATATATGTATATATGCAGCAAATATAAATAATGAAAAATATTTATAAAATGTGTGTGCGCATGTGTATTTGTAAGTGTTGTAATATTACGTGCGCATTAGCGGCAGCGCCTAATGATCATATTTTTAGGCGCACAGTTAATTTAGATATCAGTATTTTTACACAAATATTATTGTGTTAATTTCAAAAAGTATTGCCTACTTTAAGGCGTTCAAAAACTATATGTGTGCAGAGTTGAAAAATCATTGCCTACTTTGGGAAGTTTATATTTTCTCATTTTGAAAAATGTATTGCCTGCTTTTAGGCATTCCAAATGCAGGTGAGATGAGTTAAAAAACGATTACATAATTTCAGGTGTATATAATTTCTTCTATTGAAAAATATAACGCCTACTTTTGGGCGATTATCATGCTAGTGATTTTAATGACAGTTGTTACGTTTCTCATTTGAAAAAATTATACATATACCTATTAATTGCCTCCTTCTACGCGCCCCAAATATGGATGCGCTTAATTGCGGGTAAAAAATCATTAACTACTTTCAAGCCTTTATCCAATTTTTTTATTTAAAATGAAATGAAATTTTAAATGGGTTGCCTTCTTCTACACGTTTTTCATACTATTGATTTTAGTGACAGTATAAAACACCGATTGCCTACTTTCGAACGTTTATCATTTTCGAGCAATTTTGAAATGAAAAAATACATTACTCGCTCTTAGATCAAGTCTTAGGAAGGTTAGACTCAATCATGATATAAGTAGGCGCTCCTAGCGAGTTGAATTTCAGTTGCAAAGAAAAAGGAAATGCGGAAATTGTTTTATTTTCTTCAAAGATCTTGCCTTTCTCAAAAAAAGCAGAAACAACACAAATATTTTATAAAATAATTTCCAAAAAAACAGAGTATAGAAAGCTTTTCCGAAAGATCTCTGACTTCGATCAAACCAAAACCGAAAATGTGTCGGAAAATTATTTTCGATAAGCCTCGTTATTATAAGTGTTTCGTTTTTCCATAAAATAAGGGTTAAACTTTAATTACGTCACATATTTTTAGGAAACATAATCAAATGAAAACGTATTGAAAATATATTTTTGGAAAGTTTTGGTTATTTAACCAGTTTGTGTAGCTATAAAATAAGGGCCAGGCATACAATACTTCTGTCAAAAGCATAGCATTTTTTATTGTTTTCATCCACCTTTTTCCATGTAAGCTTTTGGATAAGTTTATAAATAAATTTTATTCATTATTTTAAAAAGTACTTTTTAAACAAAAAAAAAGTACAATAAAAAAGATGCTTGGCAAGTTGAAAAACCTAGAGCAGTGAACGTAAACTTTGAAATCTGTTTGATTCTAAAATCTAGCAAAGACACACACTTTCAGTTTTAGTTAGTGAGTGGTTGCTACTTTTGGAATAAGAGGAGTCAGTACTACAAGCCTTCAATAGATGTAACAGCTGAAGAGGAGAACAGCTTCTCCGTTACTGAGGAGGAAATCATGAAAATTTCAATGTTATAAATTTTTTAAAAATAGCAGGGACACACGCCTAAGGGGTTACAGACAATGCATGGTTGTTGTCTTATGAAATTACTGCTACACCCCTTCTCCGTAAGTTGAAAGTAATGAAGACAGGTTACGACAGCCCTATAATTTATGGCGTTATTAATATACGCTATATGGGAACTGAGTTTTATATAGTTTTAACGACTAAAATTTAGTATGTGCTACCGAAAACTATATAGAACCAACCACTTGGTATAGAGAGAGTAATTATCGATCAAACATTTGAACTAAATATATAGTGTCTAAATATTTATGCAAAGATATATAAATTAAAACTTGAACATCAATGGTGGCCAAAAATTAACATCATCAAATATATAAACGGTCTTCGAATAAGGAAAACTTAACAAATTCGTGCTTGGAAGAGAAAATAGTTCAACGAACAGCATTCTTCCTTCCAAAAACAATGAACTTAACAAAAATTGTTTAAAAAAATATTAAAAGTAACTTTGCATTAAGTTATATGATTCCCTTTTATAGCGTATAATTGAAATCATTACTCACCAGGTTGTCAAAGCGCAAGGCATCCTCATCGCTTAAGCCCATGCTGCGTGTCAATTGCAAATATGTCGAAGTAATCGGTTTCAAACGCTCCAAATCCAACGGCGGCAAACGCGAAGAATAGCGTGAAGTCGCTGAAGATGCTGGACGATTATCACCGCTGCCGGACGGCGTGTACTTGGACGAAGAAGCTCTCACTTCGGATGTGGTGGACTTGAATGAAAGTGTCGATGACAGATTGCTTTTGAGCGCTGTAGGAGTGGAGGTGACAAGTTGTGACATCGCCGATGACGTTAATGTTAGCGGTGTTGTTGGTATAACGATGGGTGGCAGAGTTGATAGCGGTTTCGTGTGTGACGTTGCTGTACCATTCGAGCGTGTAGACCTGAAAGTAGAAGTTGTTGACAGATTAATTGCACTGAGCTGTGTGGGGGGAGGGGATAGGGGTGTCAGTGGCGCCATTGCCTCGGTAACCATTTCCAACTCAACAGCAGTGGACGAAGCCACCGTAGCAGCAGCAGCACTGGCTGATATGGTCTCACAAGTTTGCGACTCAGTTGCATTGGTGCGCAGTCTCAAGGTTTTCTCACTTTCTGGTGAGCTTTTGAATTTTTTTATTAAAGGTTCTTCAGTATTAATGGGCTTAGTGTAAATGGCGGTACTTTCAGGCATTATTGCTGAGCGTTCTTGTTGCGCAGCAGGCTTCGTTACACTGCTAGTGGCTGGGATAATACCAGAACTACGCGATGCACCTGAGTTGGAATTACGTTGAGCAGTTAATAACTCAGCAGCGCTGGTAAACTCAGCGGGCATCGGTGGAAGTGGCAATGGAAAGCCGCCGGCATAGAAACGACGCATCATTTCATAATAACGAAAGAAGCTCTCATGTGTCTTTAGAAAATTCATATCAAAACAAAGGGGATGATAGCCGAGGTAAGATGGCGGCGCATGCGTAACCGGTTCGCGCACCGCCAATGGTGACGGTGACGGCGATGCCGATGTAGATGAGATTGTTGCCGAAACACAAACTGAAACCGGTACAAGAGGCGGAGTCAACGGACGCTGCAATTGTGGATTGATGCGTATTTTCGGTTGCCCGACAATAGGTGCCGGTGTCAGCTTAGATGAAGGTGTCGTTTTTTCGGTTACCAAATCGATGGTGATGATGGGTGCTGCTGCTGTCGCTGTGGCTACGGCAGTGTCTGTAGAGCTGGATCTGGGTAGCGAGGCTGGCGCTGCCAGAGGCTGTCGCAACGGTGCTGTGAGTAAAGCACGTGCAATCGATTGCGATGCTGGAAAAAATTTAGTATTATCAGACGCTTCTTCAAGCTGTGAGTAGCGACGCTTCAGTGGAACCACTGTGCGAGCAGTGCTTATGGTAGAGGCTGCTGCTTTTGTTAAAGTTTTTGTCGGTCCTGCTTCCACAGAGCTTTCAGTATGCGATGAGTAATTGAGTCCTTCCACTTCCGATGAGCTATCGTTGCCACATTCCTCTGGCGGATTGATGGATGTGGCCGGTGAAGCGGCGCGCAAATTCTTCTTACACTCTGGACAAATAGATAGAAAACGTGTGACAGCTTCACGCGGTAAGAAAGCATATGTTTCGGTAATCTAGAAGTAGTTGTAGAAAAATGTATAGCAAGTTAAAATATGTTGATGGTTTGGCGCTTTTAATGTTACTATTATTTTGATTTTACACTCACTATGCGATATGTGCGCTTTTGACCGGCATGCATGCCACTACGTCCACCCAATTCCATGTGTACATTATAGATAATATCAAAGAATTCTTCTACAACGGCCACCTTGCGATAGGTGCGTTTACCAAAGTCCTTTGAAAGAAAATTGAAAAATTTATGCTTCGGAAATTATATCATAGTTTTACCTTTGTGGTTGAAGCTACAAATAGGTCGACTTGACTAGGATTATCGGAGAGCACAGCATTCGGAGGGAGTGGTTCCAGCTGCCGATGACCACCAGCAGCTTCTCTGAACTCAGCTGGACGTTTGGTTGTGAAAGCTGTCAATTAACTTTTGTTAGTGTTTTACTTGTTATTCATCAGTAATATATGTATAACTTTTTTAAAAGCTTTCAGTTAAACTTTCTCCAAAGCTTTTACACTTTTTAAGTTCTATGATTTAAGGTTATTCCATAATTTATCGTTAGAGCTTTCACTGAAGCTTTTAGCCGGCAAGCTTTAAATTGCGCTTTTTAAAAAACTACGTACCTTTTGTTTTCACCCAAAACCGAAATTTCGAACTATCCGGCCGACTATGCTCCTTGCCCTCTAACGCTTTCAAAATGCGTGTTTTCTTACGCAACGTTATGGTTTTCGTCTTGGCTTGATCGCCATAATTCTTCAATGCCCATGGTTGAAAAAGCTGTAAAAGCGCAAAAGCATGTCAGCATTACTCAATGCTCTACTGCGTGTAACTTGCTAATTTACAGTTCCAAACTATTTTCGAAATTTACCTCATAAATATGTTGGCGCTCAGCTTGACGCCGCTGCTGTGCGCTCAGACTCATTTCAGCTGGTGCGTATGGCGCTTTTGCAACTTCGCGCGCCACTTGCTCATGCTTAAGATTATCAGCAACAATTGGCATATCAACATCATCGACATCTGCCTCGTAAGCAGCATCAGAAGCAGAAGCGGAGGCAGAGGCAGAAGCCGAAGCAACACCTTGCGTTTCTTCCTCCACCGCAAAATGCGGCACCATTGTTTCAGTGAGTTGACGTTGTTCTTGCAATTGCTGCCGCTGCTGCCTCTCATGTTGCATGTCTAGCAAATGTTGTTGTTCGCTTAACTGTTGCTGTTCATCGAGTGGCGGGTCCTCCGGCCGTTCATATGCACGAGCGTTTTCTTCCCCGGCATCGACGGGCGATTGCTCTCGCGATGAATCCATTTCTTATTATTTTGTTTAAATTTAACGAATTATAAATTTTTGTTTTAATTTTTAATATATCTCGATTAAAGTGTTATTGCTGTTATTTGCTATTTAAAGTTTTGGCAACAAAATATGCATTATACAAAAGTTTTAGCCTTTATATTTATGTGATAAACATTTGGTGCGAAAAAACTGTTTATGCTCGAAGTATTTATTATCTGGAAATATATGAAAATATTGTCTTAAAATACTGGTACATTTTAGTTTCCGTTTGTAGATTTAAATATTTTTCAAGGATTCTGTTTCAGCAAAATTTCGAGGCAACTGAATTATATCTATCTAATTCAACCAAAGAGACCCGCCGTGGTTAAAATGAGATTTTCGGATTTATTATACTATAAAGCCTGCAGCGATACATTTTTTTAGTAACTATCGACAATAACTATAGTGCGACGGACTTAAGTAGCCGAACCAAGACCCGGACAGACACCTTCTAGACAAAAATGAGTAGTATACAATTTACACTTTTTTGAACTCTAGAATCTAACTTACTAGTATCCCTTAGGTCAAAGTCAGTGTGCCAATTTAAGTTTGAGTGAGCAGTGGTATTTGAGCGAAAAAATAAACAAAACTGTTTATGAAATTTCCCAATATCAATAAAACCCCTTTTCAACTAGTAAAGTATAATCTTTAAAGCACAAATATACACTAACTAACAGGAAGTATATATAAGCTCTCAAGTTTCACATCAGATGGAAATACATTTAATTTCTGCACCTCACAAGTATTGACGAAGTACAGAAGGAGCAAATTTTTTATAATTGATGTGTTTTTTTTAATAAACAACAACACTAGTAATAGTTGTCTGAAGCTAAAGCTTTTCCGAAGATCGGAACAACGTCTAAACCAATTTTGGCCTGACAAGCGGTTTACGTGAAACTCAAAATCTTACATATTAATCTGGTGGCACTAAAATGAGGAACTCACAAGTGTTGATGAAGACTAGACTAAAAAATTCTTAACAATTGTTGAATCTCAGCGCTGCTGCATTAAATATATAAAAAGTTCACACGACTGATTGGATCTGGAGTTAAAACTCTTCAGATCGGAACAACGACTAAAGCAACTACGCACAAACAAAATATTATCTGGGATCCCCAAAATCACACACATAAAAGGTTTCCACTTAGAACTTTCTAAACAAATTTCTCACTACACAAATTTCTTACTAATGAAAGAAAGTGACTTGAAGACCTCAGAAGCATCGACGAAGTAGCGAAGTTGGACGCTGAGAGTAGTAGTTTTGAAATGAATGAATGCAGATCTGCTCAATCATAAGCAAAATATTTTAATGTAGATTTTTATTAGATATTGGAAGTGCCATAATTTATCCCGTTTCAAGACCGCTAAAAACAAACGGTACCGCAATATTTTCTAAAACACTTTAAGCTTCCATTGATCGATTGGTTTTCTGACATTTCAATTAAAAACAATTTCTTTTACAAACTTACACATCACACAAGTCTTCTCACGAATAGTCACGAGAGTTTAGATTTCGATGTACTTAATAAGTTCAAGAAGCAGTTGAATGAGTAAAAATATAAAAATAATGCAATTTAAATTTAAAAAATTTAATTTTTATAAAAATCAAGCGACACTATTGAAATTTTTTTCAAAAAAATACTTCAACGCACAAATTAACAAAGTCAATAGATATTTAGACGATCAAGAGTCAAAAGTCAATCGATAATTCAATACAAATCTTAACAACAACACCAATCGAAAAATTGTGCAACAAAAGTAAACTTAATAAAAACGACAACGACCACGAACACGACGCGAGCGAACGCGAACGCTTTAAAAGATCAACAAAGACTGATCGAAGTGTGAGTTTTCCTGAAGAAAATCATCCTGCTGTCAAAGACCGGACCGAGGAAGCTGCGCTGAGCTGGACAACGCAAGTACAACAACAAAGGTGGTGGTGGACTTAACAAAGAAAGGGGTGAAGAAAGATGCGCGTAAGTGTAGAAGCAGCTAAAGTAAACAGGTTTACGGCAGAGAAGATGCAGCAATGAAGATCACAGGAAGCAGACGCAGTCTGATATTTATGCGTGTATGTGTGTCGAGTGCAAACTGTGCACAAAAGTAGAAGAAAGAGCAGCTAAGCGTAGACAAAGTGAAGACAGACAGAAAAAATGAACTTTCAACCTCAAAGCGTAGCTGTTTCTGCGCCGTGAGGTAGAGGCCTCCATTAATATGGATGGTTTGGCAGCAGCGGGGTGGTTGTGTAGTGCTTTAGACGGGGAGATGGTTTTACTGACGCGTCGTTGAACTTGAATTGGTTAAAAAAAAATAATATTAAACACAAAAGTTATAAAAATAAAAATGCAAGTACTTATTATATCTATAAACAGAAAAAACAAACTTTCACGCACACACACACATACAAAATGTGTACGCAAAATAGTGCAATGAAGTCTGACAACCAATATGACTACCTCAACAAATTTGTATGTATTTTAGATGTATTTATATATGAGCCAATGTCGCACACATACACAATTTTTTCTTATAACTGTTTTTTATGTATTCTCCTTTTTAAAGTCCGATTTTTGCTCTCTCTTTCTTACCAGAAAGTTTGCTTTTAGCACTCAATTGCATTAACTACTTGCTCACAATAAATATATATGTTTGTGTGTCTCGTATATATTTATATAATTTTTTTCTGTTTTCTAATATTCTGCACCCCCAACTCAACCCGAAGCACCCCACTTTCCTAGCAAATATGTACAAAAATTAGTTTGTTACTCTTTAGATTTTCGCTCTCTTAAAAAAAGTACAAAAACGAAAACAACAACAAGTACGCTTCGCATAACAACGCTCAATTCTTTGTTTGTCTCTTTAAACAGCAAACTGTTGCATATTATATGTAACGCCTGTGTGTATGCTAATGTTTCTTAGTCGCTTGTATTTCTTTGCTTTTTTTGTATGTGTTGAAGTCACGTGCTGCTTACTAACACTTGTTTTGCAAAAATATGGACTTGTTAGAAGTGGAGTGGAGTGAATGTGCTCAGACCATTTCAAATTGTTTTGATGAAGAAGAAAAGTGTAAGCTCTGGCAGTAATGTGTTGCTTGGTGGAATTGATTTAGAACAAATTACCTCCCTACTACGCTCCTTGTAGCTATGAAGTAGCTGTAGATAAATACCTAATACTTCAAAGCTAGAGTATTCTATAGAATTATAATTTAGAAGGTCTGAGTAAACGGCTTTCCTAAAAAGGCTTAAAAACTCGAAATATAAAATAAAGGCCAAAAGTATGCTGAAGTAAGTTCTAACCTAACTGGGTTTTATTTTATTTATTTTTTCTCAAATGAGTTTGAGTATGAACCAAATGTCATTCTTTAGATAAAATCTTCAAGTACTAATATCTTCAAGTACTATATATTGTAGTATATGCAGGTTTTCTCGGTATAATCCTCTTAAGGGCTATATCCAATTGCAAGTCAAAATAAATTTTTCGTGACTTTTGTTTTTTAGAGAGAGGTTGAATTACCAAATACAAAATGTTCAGATTTGAATGTAATTAATAATAAAAAATTAATTTCTAAAAATTTTGGATTCACTTGATACTGCAGCCGATCTCCAGGAGGTTCTCCGCAAAGAGATTTCTGTCGGTGAGGAATCTTATTCAGCTTGAAATTATTTTTAATACAAAAGCCAAACAATGTTATTATAATCATAGATAAATACAGATAATAATCAAAAGAATAGTGAAAATTTTGATTTTTGACAAAATGTGCGGTTTTCCAAAAGTCGTTTTCATACACTTCAAAGAGAGTTCTTTAAAATTAAAATTATTATCAAAAATGGTTTCCCTTTAGTTAGAACGGAACAAATATGTCTTAGAAGGTTGTGTGAAAAGTCAAAATAGATTCGTCTTAACGTTGTGGAGAAACTTTTCTCACCGACTCTGAAAACAGCTTTTAGAAAAAGTTTTCATAGCCGATTACACTAAGTTAAAAAATTTCTACGAATACGCTCGTACATATCTTCGAAACTATATGCCAGAAGCACTTTAAATTTTCGGAGCGTATTCTCAAATATATTCGAATCGATTTTTTGAAATTCATAAGCAGATATAACCCCTGAAATAACATCTATACACCCAAAAGTACATATTATATCCAATCGAAAGCCATTTTTTACTTCACACTATTTTTCCTTCCTTAATATACCTATCTTGTAAGAAATCAGCTAAAATTGAACCGTAAAGGCTTGAAAATCTAAACAGCGAAAGATTTGCTTACATTTTCTCACTTATCAGTTAGTTTACAGGTGGCCGCACAACTGCGTTTGGCTTCTTCACCATTATATCGAAAGCCCTTTAAGTTTGCCCCGTTTCTAAGCCCCGGAAAAAACTGTTATAGAGCTTTTCTTAGAGGTATCTATCAACGTATTTTTCCGTGTACGGAGCGAAAGAAAACCTTCGTTTTTTTAACGATCCTAATGTAGTATATAAATGATCAGCGTGACGAGCTGAGTCGTTTAAGCATTGCCCGTCTGTCTACATATACACGAACTTGAGATATTGATCTAAAATTTTGCACACGATCTTTTCTCCTCAAGAAGTTTCTCATTTGTCACCTGATCAATCTAGGTCAAGTTCTTGCATAGAAAACTTTTTCATTTGACAAGATATTTTCAAAAATCTTTTTTTTGAATTTTTTCCTAAGATATGACTACAATATCATGGTTCATATCAGACCACTATAGCATATAGCTGCCATACAAATAGCATATAGCTGCCATACAAATAAAACAATCAAAATAAAGTACTTTTACGCAAAGCTTTTTTTTCGAACAAACTGCTCAATTTCAACCATTTTTTGCTGCCATTCAAACTGTCCAATCAAGATTAAGATAAATGTCTTCACAAGAAATCGATACAGAAGTCTACCGCAACTAGCCTATAAGCTAAATGTGGCAAATATTGATAAAGGCAATTCTTCTTCAAGA